GGTTCAGTCTCACGGGTCTAATCAGTTCAACGACAATCGTAACAACGAAAATTTTTCCATCATTGTTGTACCCTTAATATTTAGATAATTCGAGAGCAATGCGAAACGAAGATGATTGTCTCTGCGCTCGAATTTTTCCTGGAAGAAAATTAATGTCTCGCGGAAACGAGAGAAAATGAATCTGTCACGAATAAAAATGAAATACTCAGTTTATGTTGATGCTTGTCAATGAATTGCGGTAGATAAATGTATTTATTATTGGCGAAAAGTAGAGTTTAGAATTGAGATCGGACATCACTAGCGAAATCGGTAGCGCGCGAGCAAAGGGATGCTGCTGGAGCAGAGAGGAATCGGTGGCGCCGACGTCGTTCCACGTCGTCGTCGGCAGCGGTGGTGGTGGCGGCGGCGGCGGCGGCGGTGATAGCAGCCGCAGCAGCGCAGGAAAGGCTCGCGAGAGAGAGGCGAAAGATGTATAGAAAATCTGGTGGCGGGTTCTCTCTCTGGGCGTCGCGGGGCGGTGAATGACGTCACGTTGCTAAAGCGACGCGGCAACGCGAGGCGTCTGCGTGGGTCGGTGGGTGTCTGGGGGTCCGGGATCAATAGCGCGCGCCAGCAACCAGGTAGTAGGTATGGGTGCATGTAGCTTTCTCCACGGTGGCAGTCCAGGAGACGAACCTCGCGAGGTAGGACACTTTACGAGTCGAGCGAAGGAGATATAGATAGGTAGATAGATAGAGAAATAGAGAGTTCGGCGGCCTGTCAGTGTCCGTGCGGGAGAAGAGCGACGCTATGCCAATAATCGAGCGTAGCAGCGGGGTGTCCAGCGTCTAGGACTGTCAGCCTCTCCAGGTAAGAAGGGTCCAGCGGCAGCCTCCTTCCGTTCCGATCCCGGCTGCGTGGCCGAGAGCGCGCGCGAATCTCGTTCCGAATCTCGGGCTGAATCTCGTCTCCGCGAATTCCCGCGGCGCGATTGACGTCTGCTCAGGAATCGTAACAGGGAATTCCCGGGACTCTCGTTTTTTCTCTCTCCCTCTCTCCCTCTCTCTCTCTCTCTCTCTCTCTCTCTTTCGAGAATGCAGAACGAATTGGACAGCGTGCGGTCAATCTGTAAGTCGATTGAGGCGGCGTGTAAAATCTTGAGGGAGGAACATCGAGCGAAAGAAGGCAAACGACTGCGAGAGGACTAGCGAGAAAAAGAGAGAGAGAGAGAGAGAGAGAGAGAGAAAGGAATAAGTGGGAGAAGCGGGCATAGATTGGCAGATAGATTGGATAAGTACGTACGCACGCACGCAGGTAGCTAGGCGGATGACACGGGATGGACGGGTAGAGGTTGATAGATGGACCGATGGGCGGATCGACGGCAACGCCGAAACGGACGGGACGGACAGATAAATATGGGCAATTGGCAGAACGGAAAGACGGATTTCGCAGATACGAATGTAACAGAATGCGGATGAATGGATTGGTAGGTCAATCGCTCAACGCTGTTGAAGATTGCGCGATCGGAAAAATGTAGTCCTTTTTATCAAGCATCATCCGCGATATTTCGTCGTTACGTATAAACTAAAAAAAATTGCAGAGATATATTTTGCTTTTTTAAATTTTTATCTATCTACAAAAAATTAAGTGATGGATATACGTCTATTCGTAAGAATAAATTGGTGAGAAAGAACGAACAAAGGAGATCGAGAGGTGGCTTATATTCGCGAGAGTAATTCTGGAGAGAACCGGTTATGAATATTAAGTTTTAAACGCGCGCGCTCTATGCTAATTTTATTTTTCCGTCGGATTTCGCTCAACGATAAGCATGACGTATATTTCGCCATTAAAGTTGCATCAAGATTGATAAATTGCTGGGACGCGTCAAATATACGATGCCATTAAACTATGGCGCGCAGATGCATTTTCGAGCGCTTTATTTACCCTCCATCAAATGGCTTTTATCAATCAATGACTGATCACAGTGAGATGATCAGTCGTTTCGCGTGATAAACTAATTCGTCGCGGGTGAGGTGAAATGCAGGTACATTCCTATACGTTATTACTCTGTAATGACGATGACAGAGATACACCCACGTACACACATACATATATACATACATATATAAATCGCTTGCCTGCCTCCTCGCGGTAACCTACTCGCACGCTCTTCTTCTTTGTCACCATTTGTCAGCACCGTACCTAAATTATGAGTTATGGTGTCCGCGTGGTCTATTCACGTAGTTCAAGTATGAAGAAAGGGTTTATTAAACTCCCAGAAGAGAAGGGAGAAATCGATATTCTTTCAATACACTTGTGCGGTGAATTTCACTCAATTTTGCGCAACGTTTAGAAAAGATTTCTCAGAAAATTATCCAAGATTGATTTTCCTTGCAAATTTTTTTATCGTGGCTTTCTTCTTTTGCTCTTATGTGATGCGACATTTTCGTTAAAACGCTCTTATTTAAATCAAATTATTCCAGAAGATTAAATTAAACCGCATGTTTTATATCGCGAGATTTTAAATCAAGTACTATAGATTATCAAGAAAGTGATAGAGGTTGCTTGTTATCTCGTCTACTGACAAACTGCTAATTCGCTAACGATAAGTATTAGCGATAGGAGCGTAATTCCCGAAACGAGATGTTTTGTAGCGATACGACTGCTCTCGTGCCTTCTCGGTATCGCAAACTACTTTGATCTTACTGATTGAAAAGGACCTCTTATTATGTGCTTGCTGGCTCACTTGTTTGCCGTTCGCGTACGGATATCTCGTTAGGCGCAATCACACTCAATCATTGTCTCGCGTCCAGTCGAGATAAAGTACGTCAAACAGTCCGTCAAAATCATTTTTGCGTCATACTTTGCCGTCGATTACCTGGGTCTCAAATGGCAAATACGGATAATATTGCGTGGAATATTCCATGACAAAAGATACCGCAATATAGCAAAACAGCAGAGATTAATACACAAAGATATATAAAATGATCAAATATTTACATAGGTCTGCAGATTTAAAGACGTTTAACTCTCTCGATTTCTGAGACAATCGCACGATTGAAAATATCTTAATTGAGGTCAGTCTTTATTTAGATAAGAATATCCATACATATACTTATATTTTTTATCAGACCCGTAAATCAATTATGCTTTCAACTGTAATCTAAACTCATATACTCGAGATCTTGGCAACAATATTGTAAAGGGGAAAGGATCGGGCAAGGGGGAAGCGAACTGGTCGCGAGGCATTCGAACAGCCGATTAGCTCTCTCAAGTACCTAGAATTTGCGGATTTCGGGGTCGGAGGTCAGGTCGGTACTTGAAACTTTCGGGTTACCCGATATTGCCAACCGACGCGTCGTCGCGGCATATTTCATGGTCTTAGAATATATAATTATCTCTAATATATAATTAGCTCTCATCATTATCTACGTATATCGCCGCGCAATTTCTGATCCGAAGTTGCGCCAGACAAAGAGAGAGAGAGAGAGAATCTTGCTCGAAATACACTTGTGACGATGTATGCGCTATTGTGCGCAGAGAATTACCGTGTGTACTCTATCTATTGTTAAACCCTATCGCGGACACGTGGCGGACGGAGATTTTCCCAGACGATCGCTTGTCTTATACGACAGAAAATCCCGCATTCTTCCGACAAAAATAAGTTGCGTGCGCGTATCTTGGCAAGCCTTCAATTCTCGCGCAATACAGCCACTTGTACCTTGAGGCAGACGTCCAATTCGCGTCAGCTTTTCAGATAAACCAATAAACGAAAACGAAACGGACAAATAGAAAAGATCTCGTCATCTCGTCCGCGGATGAAAGATACCTCGGAGTCGCGTTCGACCTCAGTCTGATCTCGGTGACACGCGGACGACAATCGTGCCACGATTTCTCCCCCTGTGTCTTTCACAAAGATCCCCGTGAGTTGTATATATATATATATATATATATATATATATGTGTGAAGTCTCTTCTTCCCCTCGCATAATCAATTTAATCTCGCGAGACAGTAGATACTCTCGTGCGGTACGGAGCAAAGGAACACACCAATCTTCGCCGCGCTTTGATCCACACACACGTTGCCTTAATTCGATCAATCTCTGGGAGTTGGTGAGACACGGTAAATGGAGGCGTTCACCGCTTTGTGCCTTGCGCTCTCGTCGAGCTTCCTCGCGTGCTGTATTAAATATCGCGCGCGTATGATATCGTAATTAAGTGAATTATATAGTTTGGAAACAACGCCAGGACTACGAGAACTCTAAGAAAGTTGACGTAATAGTATAATTGACGGAATATAATTTTTAGATCTGGATCTCTGTGTGTTAAACGCGAATGTTATCGACTTTTACCTCCGAGTAAAACCGCCGATAACGTCTGAATAGGAAAAACGAGATATTTCGGGTCGCAAGAGAGTAATATGTAGATTGGATATAAGTTTAATCATCGTTAATGCGAGTTTCCGCGCGGGAATTCGTTTTTCGCAGAATTTTTGTGAAGCTGTGTGCAACTTGTTTGGTTGCAGGCCGGCGCAATGTGGCCTGGAGTACTACCGTTACTGGTGTTACTAGCGGTCCTGCTGCATCCATCGAGGTAAGTTGTTTTGTCACACCGATAATTCGAAAACGATCGCGCGTCGAATTTTCGATAGCGATTCCCCCGAACGGGTTTCGGTCGCCCGACTCCGTCAAGTCGTGTCGCGTAAATTAATAATGCAACAGTTACAGCGTTTTTGGAGCGTCGTCAAGACACGATCTCGTGAGTGTGTAGCAATAGAAACATAATTCCGAGAAAGCAAGTTATGGCTCGTAAAGATGTACATTATTGAATCGTACAGGATTATTGTTATGGCGCATAAAGTTTATATGAAGCTCATGGTGCTTAGCACGTTCGGTACGTTCAGAATTTTGTATGTCGATTTTATACGAACGGGAGTAAAAATGGAGTGGAGTCTACAAAATAATTCATATAAAGTTTAAAAGAAAAATACAATTTGCAAATGTACATGTACTCTTCTATACTCTGTGTTCTCTGTGTTCTCGCGGAAATTTATTTTCCACGGTTGCACATGTGGCGCGGGGAAAAAAAATTTCTTTTTCCCGGAAATTAGATTCCTCACTGACGGTACTGTCGCTGTGTTTTTTCCAGATGTACGCAGACGCAAACGCAGGCGAAGGTGAACTTCCGGGAGAAGGAGAAGCAAGTGCTCGACAACATCCTAGGACCAGGCCGGTACGATGCGCGCATCCGGCCGAGCGGGGAGAACGGAACAGGTAAATATAAAGATTCTCGTGTGTCCTTATTTACTCCCTCTGCCCATCCTCACCATGTTACCGTGTAATTTTGTACCGACATATCTTGCGGCAAAATCAGCCGAAAAGTGTGAATGTAAGGAGGAAATGAAAAGAAAAGAAAAAAAAAAAACTGTGTGAGAGACGGAGAGATACACATACATACAGTTCGGCGAGAGGGGTTGAGCTCCCCCCTCCCCCCTCCTCCCCCTTGGTCGAGTGCGGAAAATTGAACGCGCGATGCAACACGATCTTGCCATCGTCGTTAATGCGACGCAACGCGCAGACGACGAGCGCGCGTCCCGAGTCTATTGACAATACCGTGATATATATATATATATATATATAATAAGCGAGCGAGACGAATTGTGCGAGAATTTTCCGCACGTTCTTAGTGAATGCATACCGAGCGGCGAGAAATTTCTTCATAAACTTCGCGAATACGAACGGCGGACCGGCCGGCCCCTTTGGAGAACGAGCCGCGATCGGCCCCGAAATCTCGAAATCGTGATTATTGGCAATATTATATTATCGCGTTTTTTTTTTGCGATTGTCTTGGAATTGTCACATATTGTCCCTTTCATTCATAAAGTGTATGAACCTTTTAATGGCTCGGTTAAAATATGCGAGTAGATTGGGAGAACTGCATCATTTACCGATGCAAACATTTTATATATATGTAAATGATAAATTATAATTTTATATTTATATATTATGACGCGTTATAATATTATATATCTCGTACAATTTCTCAATATATACCATATCGCACAGACATCGAAGTACAGATGATCCGAGTTTTAACAAAAAAAAAAAAAAAAAAAAAAAAAAGGATCTCACAATAATGATCGTACTTTACGCGATAAAGTAAAGATTTCGCAAATTCCCCCGAGTATCATCGAACGACGTACGCGAAAGAGCGATGCGCAATTCGTCTTCCAATCTCCTCCACATTACGGGCAAGGTGTATCAATTTCTCTCTTTCTTTTTTTTGCGATGTGGCAATTTCGAGTCCCAAACGGAAGCCCGCCGATATCGATCGTCGTCGACTGCATCGTCGCGATAAATATCGCGATACCCGTAGTCAGCTGGTCGAGTGGAAGGCAAGTCGTTTCGTTCGGCGCGATAGATAAACGAAGCCAAGTAGAAACGAGGATGTTGTCTCGTATCAACGAGAGAGACGACGACGATTGTTTGGTCCAGCCGCATTTATCGTAGCCTAAATCGATTAACTTCTCAAGTGGCTGCACACGGCCAAGAGAGTACAACGATAGCCAAGATAAATTAATTAAATATCGGAATATATGACGGCGGAGTTATTTACACTTTGGCGTTTTTTACGAAATCGCTCGCTCTCGGATTTGTTTTTACGTTCCTCCGAACGTTGAAGATAAGTTTGGCTCATTATCGTTCGCCGCGAAATTTTCCGTATGAGAAAAAAAAATCTTTTTCCTAGTATTTTTATCTCTTACGCAATACGATAAAACGTTACATTTATATCTGTGCATTTAAAGGCTAAATAACGCTACGCGATGACATTTTTATTATTACACTCCACTATTTACTAGAATTCTGCTTATAAAATAGAAAGTAATTGCATGTAAAAAATTCTGAAAGACGTATAATTATAATTTACATAATCTTTAGAGAGACGTTGCCGAGTTTAGAACTGAAATCGCGAATGGGATTCTACCCTCGTTGTAAGGTGGCGTGAAAGAGTAATTGAATAAATCGCACACCGCGAGAGCGCGATCACGTGTCGCAGTAAAACGGACGACCAGAATATTCCCCAGGCGCGCGATGCGTGCCTATCCGCAGATATATATCGCGTTAACTCGGAATAGGAAAAGGAGGACGATTTGTGCGATTTCTTCATTACCTATTTAAAGGCGCGGTAATAAAGTGGTTTTTTTTTTATGATCACCCGTCCCGCGCGAGTCCTCAAAGGCATTTTTGCATTTCGCGAGTGCGGCTATATATGTATATTCCGAACAGAGCGACGGCGCTTTAAACATCGGATCGCGTGCCTTGATAAACGCGACGGTCATTAATTTTATCGTCCGTGTATTAGCCGTGAATGCGCGCCGTTGGGGGTGAGTTTTTGCCCGGCCGGGAAGGGAAATTCATGGCGCTTCGTGCCCGGCCGTCACTTGGACGGGCTGGCAAAAAAAAAAAAAAAAAAAAAAAAAAAAAAAAAAAAAAAAAAGAAGAAAGAAAAAAGAGTCCGTCAAGATTGCACGCAACGGGACGGATTAACGCTACGAGGATATTGCGATACGTCGCTGCTGACAAGTAGACACACCGGTTCGAGAAGCCTCTGCCTCTCCGGGCGTAATTCGGTGATAGCCGATTATCGCACCCCTCGATCGATCGCGCATTCGTAATTTCGCCCCGTCCGTAATCAACGACCCGTTTATCGTCGATGACGTTGCGCGACGGAATTAATCGATCATGGGGGGGATGGTAAACGCCGCGTATGACGCATTCAAGTCCGGCGTCACGCTCTCGATCGTGTCCATTCTCTTTCGATCGATCAGGCGAGGGAGGGTATCTTTTTTATAATATTCTCGCTCTCATATTCAATATCTATGAGAATGACGAATTTAAAATTCTTATATAAAATATCTATATGTATGTAAATCTTTTCCCCCCGAGTTTTCCTAATACACTCATATATACTCACGACGCATTAACGTAGGATTATATGAAATATTAATAATCAGTTAATGATGCTCTCCCAAGTGAAAGAAATGGTATCTGCAGTTGATGAATTTTCCGAATCCAGAAACTAGATACCAGCAAGATAATGTTAATGTCAGATACAACGTTTTTAGCTAAAGGGACGGAAATTAGGTCGACCGAAAATTATGCGTTTCCATGAATCTTTGGGAACGCTGGGCAATGATAGATCTGTAATTTATGGGCCTGCGGATCTGTATTTGCGCTCGGACTACAATTACCTGTAACACGCTACAGTATGTAACAACGTAATGAATGGCACGATACCAATATCGATCAAACACACTATTTTGCTTCGCATTGTATGCCGACGCCGTTGATTTATATTACAATCTTGATGAACTGTTGTCGTTCAATCTTTCGCCCAATGTCTTGCAATACTTACCTGCGATACCGACTCGATCTATTGCAATAGGTGGATAAGCGCTCACATTTGATGATCAGATGTGGGCAAGTAAGAAAAAAAAAAAAAATTACACGCAGAAGCATTTTACATACTCTCCTGGTTTCCTGATCGCGTGAGGATGATAATCGATCTCGCGATTTGTATATACTTTTTTCGAAAAAGACGTATACAAAGTTACTCAACATTTTGTACATCTATTACACATAATTCCGCAACGAAACTCAAGCCTGTTCTCGTAACAAAAAGTGGATTGAAAATGTTTTCGATTAGTGTTCTTTTTATTTTTTCAGCGTTTAATATATTTTCAAAAAAAAAAATTTACACACGCGGAGGTATACTTTATATACTCTTAATTTAAGAATCGGATATCTTTATTAAACACATTTGCTTTTGACCAAAAAATCATTTATTATTTTCGAGGAGTCTCATTGCATAATGCATATGTGTTCGGTAACTGCCATACCTTGTACACGAAACTCGATTCCCTTTCTCAGATAGATCGTGAGAATATATCACTCTTCGTTCAGCTTGCTCCTGACATGTTTTCGCGATCGTATGAAAAAGGCGATATTTCTTTTGGTTCGCCTTACGGAAATTAAAATATAGTAGGAAAATATTGTTATTACCGCCAGTTGCCGTCTAGCTTAAGATAGAATCGAGTCTATGGGATGAAGACCATGGCAAACCGCCACATTAGAGAGAACATTACACACATATCCTTTGTGGTTGGCACATTAATTGTATCTTACGTGCGACTCTCGTCTTCCGTCTGTGTAAAGCAAAACCTGGACCGAATACCAACTATTGTATGCGATGTAACGAGCGTAAGTGACTTGAGGAAGATTCATAACTGGTGAAAAGGAGGAAATACGTGAAACTGCATGATATTCCATTGCCGAATATTATGATGAACTACACTAGGTAATTAATCATGCCAGTCTGTTACACGGTTAAATTCGCTATGGTGGAAGGAATTCGTCTTTTCAATCAAATCTATATAAAGTTTGATCTAGATACGCCAGTCATGCATAAATATATGGAAGATATGAAATGTCAAGGAAACAGACAAATATTCTCATGCACAAATGAATTTTTGCATCGAGGTAAAAATAATGAATAAAGATTGAATATCGCTCTAAACGAGCCATCAAAAACGGCCATATTACTCGGTAATTAAATGAAAACTTCTACATAAAATTGCGCGTTTACTTGTATATGTGTTATTTATCAATTAAAGCTTTACAGGACGGAAAATTGTGGAAAATTTTAGCATGTTTGTTAACGCTAAATTAAAAAGAAATATAACACGCATACACGTAGAGATATTTTTTTATTGAAATGATATAATCTTAATACTTTGATCTTTTATATCGAAAACAATATGTTTTTATTTAGATTTTACTTTATTTTTGGAATTGTATATTCTATATGATCGATTAGCTTCCAATATTGATCGTATAAAGAGTGATAAGGCAACTCGAGTGCCTTCTGAGCTGTTAAATAAAAAGATGACATAAGTGGCACACAGCAAATATTAACCAAATCAAAATAAAATCTATCGAGACGATACGTAGATGCAAAATACATATTTACATTCATGTTTACATTACGGCTCGATCGTCGTTCTGCGATCGAAAGTTAAGCGGACGAAGCGTGAGAGAACGCCTGTTGGAGCAGGTGTTAACACACACGTAACGGAAAGAGATCCGCGTGTGGATACGATATCGAGAAACAGAGAGAGGAAGAGAGAGAGGAAGAGGAAGAGAGAGAGAGAGAGAGAAACGCACAGCATTGATTTGGCTGGAGTCCCTGGCTCGCGATCGGCATGCCATCCGAT